GCTAGTTTAGTAAGAATCCCCTATTCTCAGTATCTGAGCCCTCTCAGTATCTGACCAACTTTCTCACTCCCATCATTCTCTAAGTAATGTCTGACCACCTTGGCCTCCCTTCAGCAAGGATCCTGTCAAGTCAGTTTAGTAAAGAATTAGTCTTATGTCTTACTCTCTTTTGTGTTGCTGTAACTAAATACCACAGAGTGGGAAGTTTGTGAAGAACAAAAGTTTATTTAGTTTGTGGCTCTGGAGGCTGGGAAGCCCCACTGTTACAGGAATTCTGGGGTGCTGTAGGGTCTTCCTAGAGATTCTTTCCAGGTTCTTGACCTGAACAGAGAATTGGTCAAAACAAGCACAAAAAGTAGTTAAGTTTTATACTTGTTAAAGTTAGGAAAAGAAGCATGTTCTGCAGAGCAAGTACAGGCCAAGTAAAATAGGAAAAGAAGTACACTCTACAGGGCAAGAGTGAGTCATTGAAAAGAGAGCACGGTGGCCATGAGGTTAGTGGTGGCCCCCCTTTTTTTACCCTGTCTCCCATTCTAATGTCAGACTGAGGCCATCCTATCAAAAACCTGCTTGATTTTGTGCCAGAGAAATTGAAGATAGCACTTTCTGATTGGTCCTGGGTGTAGAACTTGGAAACTGTTTCAATAGGTCACACCCACTCACCCAGCAGGCTGCCCACACCTTAATCCTCTGCCTGACAAGAGCATGGTGCCAATGTATGCTGAGGGCCTTCTTGTGTCAGAGAATGGCAGAGGGGGTTCTTATGACCAGAGAGAGCGTGTGTGTTAACTGACATTTCTCTTCTCTTCTTATAAAGCCGTTAATGCCGCTGTGGGGACCCCACCCTGATGAATTAAATCCTCCTTACCTCCCCAAAACCCTGCATCCAGGTATCAACATGTACATCCAAGGATTAAGTTTTTCTAACACATGAATGTTTGGGGCACATACCCAGATCTTAGCACCTCTTAATAATTTTCCATGTATCAGCCCCTACCCCATACCATCACCCTACTTCTCAGCTAGAAACATCCATTTTTCCATGCTGTAGAATTCAGCCCAATCTCTCCCCTCTGCTCCAGGGCCCTTAAGGAATCGTCCACTGGATCAGGTCTGCCTTTCTGTTCTCTGACAGGTGTTAGAAGAGTTTTTTCCTTTCATAGAAGCTGTCTCCAAGGACCATACTATAGGCATGGCCTAAGCCCAAAACACAAACTCTGGCATAGGCTGACGTGGATGTGGGCCCTGCAGCACACTTCCCAGCTTTGTAGACTCAGGCCAGGTGCCGCAGCTCCTGCTGCATCAGGAGCTCATGGGGTGGTTGCAGGAACCAGGCCTGCTGTAGGCCAAGCACCTTGTATTGAGCAAGCTGCAAGTGCTGTTGTGCCACTGTTGTTACCGTCCTCAGTGTTACTGGGTTCTCCATCACTGCTGCTGGCTGACTGAGGGATTCGTAGGACACTTCAGATCTAAGTAGGGTCTGGAGTCAGACATTCTAGGAAAACCTCAGAGAAACATTAGCCAGAAGTCCCTGCTAGACTATCAGTGCATTTAGAGTTAAACTCTGCTACTGTCCGAAAAGAAATAGACCTGGCACATTCTAGACCTGTAGTGCTCTGGGCTGCATTCCAAATTCTGATGCTCGACAGCTGCAGAAGCTCCTCCCACTCCATCCATTATCCTCTCAGGTGCAAGTAGGTGGTTGTCAGTCCCGGTGTGCACAGTTTTCTGGCCTGAGGATCCACGGCATTAAAACCAAACAATATTGGAAGGCAGACAGGAGAATCATGAGTTCCATGCCAGCCTGAGCCACATAAGCAAGATCCTGTTCCCAAAAACCAAACTAAACAAACACAACAAAAAACCGGGCCACAGAGGGGATAGTTTTTCAGTAATGTCATGCAGTGCCCAGCAAAGCCAGCTACAAGGGCCAGGTGTACCACGGGGTGAGAGACAGCAGTCCTTCCATTTGGGTGTGGGGAACCCGAGGTGTTTATAGATGAGTCCGGGCAAGTCCAGCCTGTCCCAGAGCCAGTCTTTGCTCCCTCAGAGGCTGTATCGGGATGGTCCCTGACCCCACAGGGTAACAGGTCACCCCATCACAGACTCCTTTGTCCCCAGAGGAACTCCAGGCACTTCCTTGCAGGTAGGGAGTGTGTGGAGGATTCACTGGAGCCCTCAGGACACAGGACTCGCAGCCTGTCCTGGGAGCTGGAGGGGAGTCCATGGCTTGGCATGGGTGGTAGCCTTCCTGCCCCCTGGACCCCACCCCACCCCCAGTCACCTGCAGGAGATCTGAACAAGTCCACTGTGGGTTCAGATGCCCTGAGCACTTTGCTCCCTTTAACCTGCAGCCCTTTATCTCCAATCTGCCCTCTGGGGTCCTGTAGAACAGATTGGATCCTCGAAGAAGCCCTTTAAATACTTGAACACAGCTCTGGTGTCACTGCGGTTATTTTCTCTCCGTTCCTCTTACTGGAATTACTACCTCTGTGATCTAGTGCGCGCCTCTGGATCTTCATTAGAGCACAGACTTTACAAATAAAGCCAAACAAAAATCGCACCGAGAACGTCAAAGCCTGTCGCCAGGAACCAGTCTTGCAAGCCTTTGTGGGGACCAGTCAAGAAGGGGAACCTGTTCTTTCCTCTACACACTGTGCTTGATCTCATTGTGGGACCTGAGGTGGAGGCCTAGGGGCCTTTCTGTTTGTGTGGCTGCTTGTACTGTTAGGGAAATGCTTGAGTTAGGGTGAATTTGAAGTGTGAGTAGAGCATCCCACCTTATTCCTTCGGGATGTATTTCAAGACCACAGTGGGTACCTGAAACTACAGATCATACTGAATCCTATGTATTTTACTTTCTAAAAGTATACGTACATTGTGATAAAGCTTCATTTACGAATTAGGCATAGTAAGAGTAGTAACAATAACCTAACATGGATCTTAGCAACCTCAGCATAGTTTTTCTTTCCTTATTCAATCAAGAACTTTTACCTTTTCACTTAACAGAGGCTTTTCCTTGGCATATGTGAATTGCCCATATGACCGTGCCTGTGCTTTGGGGCCGTAAGTAAGGGAAATAAAGGTTTCTGAATGTAAGCACTGCGCTAATTACCTCGACACTTGGCCCAGACAGCTGTGAAGAAGCTAGTGGGCAGCTAGTGGAGTGAGTGTGGTCCTCCAGTAGGGCTGGACTCGTGTCCTGGGGGGCCAAGACGTGGTGGGTTGGTGTGCGACAGTGTGAGATTAAAACTCACTGTTTATTTCTAGAATTTTTCATTTAGTATTTTTGGCACACAGCTGACCTTGCGTAACTGAAATCATAGAAAGCAAAACCATGGATGAGAGAGGATTACTGGTATCTCAGTGCAGCAGTGGCGGGAATGACATGTCATTTCCCTCGCCTGCGAGTGCAGGGCTAGAATGTGCTTCATGGCCTTAAACTTGAGAGACAAGTTTCAGGGATATGTTCAGGTGTGCAGTTCCCAGCGGCGGAGTTTACATTTAGATACTCAACGTGTAGTAAAACAGGAGCTTAGGAGAAAAACAAGTGAGGGCCGGCGATACAGCTCAGTGACACAGCGCCTGCCTGGCAAGTGCAAGGCGTTGAGTTTGATTCCCGGTACCAAAAAAAAAAAAGAAAAAAAAGGTGAAATCGAGGGGAGAAAATGATCAGAATCAAGAGTTTGATAACACAGTTAACCTTTTGTGCTGGTACGGTTAAATACATCTGTGAAATAGGATTAGAGACAATATTTTCAGTTTTCGGCCTTTCAGTTCTTGAAGACCCTGGGATTTCTAGCAAGACACAAATCGCTGTCTCCGAGGGCGCCACACGTCCCGATCCACGGAGCTCTTGGATGACTGTTTTCTTTTGAGGTCCTGGTATGTTGAGTATTTTACCTCCGAGCCTTCGACTTGGAAGTGTCTAAAATGTTAGAACCTGTGTGAAATACGAAATTGTGTAAAGAATGTTTTTAACTGTTACATACATGTATCACCATATAGCCCACACCATCCAAAAGAGAGTAGGTAACTATAGCTTTCATTTTGACTTTCAACTTCTTCAGTACTCTGGAAAACCACTTTGAGAAATGTAATAGGTAAAATATGCAGTGGAGAGAGGTATCTTATCAGATTAGCTAGAACATGACAGTGAAACACATTTTTAAAAAGAGAAATATATTTCTTTTCTTTTTTTTTTTTGGTTTTAGTTTTTCTCCGGTACCGGGAACCGAACTCACAACCTTGTGCTTGCCAGGCAGGCGCTTTGCCGCTGAGCTAAATCCCCAGCCCCCCAAAAAGAGAAATATATTTCATCATCATTAAGTCCTGCTTTCTGCCCTGCCTAATGTTCCCAGTCAGAAGAGAGAGAGAGAGAATGAGAGAAGAGAGAGAGAGAGAATGAGAGAGACAGAAAGGGAGGGAGGGAGGGAGGGAGGAAGGAAGGAAGGAAGGAAGGAAGGAAGGAAGGAAGGAAGGAAGGAAGGAAGGAAGGAAGGAAGGAAGGTAGGTAGGTGGCTTCGGGTTTCCACAGCTTGCAGGGAATGTTCCTAAAGGGATCTCAGTAATATTTTTCCTGGGCTTTCGGGAGCAAGAAGCTCCCTTTCTTCCTTGCCCTTTAAAGAAGGCAGCTCAGGTGGGTGGCAGTGATTAGGACCCCCGCCCAATGGCAGGAGGCCGTGAAGACAGACACCCAGACCCTGCCCGGCTATTCACCGCTGGCAGGGGGAGCTCTTTGCCTGTGCTGACACCTCCATTGAGCTCTGTGAGCCTGCTTACTGGGAATTGAGAAATGTATGTGTCCCAGAGAGAGATTTCCTTGCAAAACAAATCTCTCTCCAAACCCAATTGCTCCACAGACTTTGTTTTTTTGTTTTTTCCTTTTCTGAGTAAGGTAAGTTTTTGCTGAGTGGCCAGGCATTCTGCAAGCAAACAAACTTTCCGGGGCACAGGTCGTTTTGCTCTCTGCTCTCCAGCTCCCTCCCGTGACTCGGAGGAGGAGATCTGATAGCCCGGGGTGAGGTTTCACCCTCCCCTTGGTCTCCGAGGGCGCCTGGTCATGCCAGGAAAAAAGAGGAAAGAGAAAGGGCAGGCGGCCTCGGTGGGTGAAGTCATGCCATGAGGGTGGTGACACCTTCTCACACGACCTCAGGGAAAATGCTGGGCTCCCAGCTGCCCGTCACGGAGCTTGGGGGAGGAGGTGACCTCTTTATTTTTAGAAGGGAGCTGTCATAATAGCCCTGTCCCGAGCTTCATTCACAGCGGTGAGCAGGCGCTTTGGGAGTTTGTAAACAGCAACTTTCTGAGTAAAGGAGGAGCACTTTTTTCCAAAAAGGAAAGAACTTTATTGCTGGGGGTTGCCCCCTGATATTCAGGGGTATTGTGGAAGACGCTATTGTTTGAAATCCTTAGCGGGGCAAGCAGGTGCGACAGCTGTCTGCACTGCTAGTATTTTTAAAGGGCAGAAATGCCTGAAGGTGAAGACTTCGGACCAGACAAAAGGTAATTACAATGTGTACTTATTTATTCTGGATTCTATATCATTTGACAGTTTAAATGATGAATTAAAAGTAGTTTAAATTTAAAAATCAAAATTTGGACTATTATTCCTTAATTCTAAGAAGCTGAAGGTTTTTGTCCTCAGACTAACCAAAGAAAGTCAGATTAACCTGTGTACTCTTAGAAACATATGCTGAGAAGTATTTTTCTTGAATAAGGAAGTGATGATCTGAAATATTTTAAAAAGTTGTTTCTCATATACGAGGTAAAATCTACTTGAAATTTTTGATGTTTCCTTTTTCATGAAAGGATAGCAGTTGGAAATCTAAACCCATGAACAGTTTTAAAAATGGTTGCATTTTAAAGACTTGCCAAGCCACTCAAGAGATTAAATATTGGGCCACCATAGCAGTTTTGATATTTGAAATCTTTTTCTTAAATCGTAGATCATATCTTTGAAGCTGTGATCAGTCAGGGCCCCTTGTACAATACAGTAATTGTATCGGTGTTCGGATTAATATCTAAGTCTAAGAAACGAGGGTACAGGAGAGAAAAGGAGCAAATAATTCCTGCTAATCTGTGCCCAGGCTGAAAGTCTCCATTGCAGCTCCCTTGCTGTTAACGAAATTTATATGAGTTAGAAGATGTCTTCTTTACCATTGCAATCGGGCTGTTGAAATCAGATATGAAGAAGTAAAAGGAAAATTATTAAATAAGAAGAAAAGGGGTCACTGATCATTTTATTACTAAAGAAAGTAGAAACTGGTAGTTTTAGGAAGAAGAGAAACCAAAGTACCCTTTTGAAAGCCGTGGTGATGTGAGGTGCGTGTGTGTGTGTGTGTGTGTGTGTGTGTGTGTGTGTGTGTTGATTATAATGAATTGTAAGAATGTCCCTAGAAGCTGCCATTTTCTGGAGTGTTCTAGTTTTTAGCTTAAATCCCTTTCTATTACGTGAAAAGGGATGTTACAGTGATATGTAATTGAACAGTTTTCTACATAAAATGAGTTATTAAATCAAGTGCTTGAGGATGCCCTTTGTAAGAGTCCCTAGAGGGGCATATGGATTAACTAGTTAGGAAGACACTTTTCAGGGAGTTTTAAATGTCAGTTTTGGTTTGCTCGGGACCGGCTGATCCACTTGTATTGTATGTATCTTCTTCTGAACATCTTAGTGTCTCTGAAACAAGGCTTTTTCTTTTCTCATAGCACTGAGGCATAAAATCTTGCACAGAATATGCATTTTAAACAGATCCTTGCTGCATGGAATGGAATGTACTGATGAGCCATTTACACCTGCAGTGTCCAGGGGCCGGATTATTGGAGGGTGGAGTGGGAGAGATTTGGTAGAAAGCTAATAGTCACTGCTTTAATGAAATGCGACGTTAGAATTAAATTAAATAGTATTTCATTGTTGATAATAAATATTTTGAGTGAGCTGTTTATGATGTCCACTACAGACATGTTTCCTTTTCTGGGCATGTTTTACTTATTAAAAAAGATTAACAGATGGAAACAAAAATGTATATACCAATAGAGACTATATATTCATGCGCAGACATAAATGTATTTCACACACATATACTAATAATTATTACTAGAGGAGTGTTATATTTGATTGGAAGTGGAAACTTCTTCTCCCTCCTTTGAGGTAGTGAACTTCTGCTCCCTGCTTTTTATTTTTTATTTGTTTTTCTGTTTTTTATTTTGATGAGATAATTCTTAGTTCTTAACAGTTGGTGGTTTTTCTACATGGCTTTTCCTCCTCTGTTTGTTTGTTCCTTCTTTGTGCAGAAAGAACATTCCAGATGGGGGGAAAGCTTAGAGCTAGGCTGGAAATAAAATATTTACCACGAAGAGAAAATGCTCCTCTTGCTAAATTTGAGATGAAATATCTCTGGTCACGTCCGCTGGGCCTGTGTCTAAAAGAGAAAGAACTATTATAAGTCTCAGATCTGCTGACAAAACGTGCTCTTGGAGCGCCTTGCAGCAGTTCTAAATGAATCTCACATTAAGGCGTATTCATGCTTCTTAAGTCCTGTTTTAAAATTTGGTGTCCTGGGTTGCTTTGAAATTGGCAGCGAGCTAAATCTGAGTTTGGTTTTAAAAATAAACTGAGTGGACCAGAGCGGAGGGTGAGCCTCACCTGTGTGCCTAGTTGGCCCCTGCCACATCCCAGGCACCTGCTGCTTTATTCCCTCATGGTCTGGCAGTCCCGCGGCACCGTCTGTGCCCACCAGGTGGACGGCAGAGACCGTGAGGGCCTAGGGCACTCGCTGGGCGGCAGAGGGAGACCCTGCTCCCTGTGCCTGCCCTTGCAGTAGAGAGCACTCTCGAGAGAAACTTCTGAGCACTCTGGGCCACTTTGAAGGTCAGGAGCTTAAGGAAGAGGCCAAGAAAGCCACTCTGAGGCAGGCTCGGGAGGCACTGCCCAGACAGGAAGCAGCGCGTGCCAAAGGGGGAGGGAGGGGGACAGGGGAGAGCGAGAGGAAGAGGAAGAAGCAAGGACAGTGACTGGGGAGGCAGAAAAGATGAAGAAATCCGAGCAGGGTGACCCCTGGCCCAAGCCCTGGCTCGCAGTGGGCCCATATCCCCGCTCACTTAGGGTCCTGCGTGGAGCAGCGGCCCAGGTGGCCTGGACAGGCTGGGCAGGGGGTGTGGGTGGTGGGCATTCCCAGTCCAGTGGTTACAGAGGGACATGGACGCTGGCCCCAGGACTGAGCTCTGAATGTGTCCTGTCATGGAAGCACTGTCACAGTGGGTGGTTATGTTCACTCCCTCCACGGTTTACTCAGGAGGCATTGATCAGTTCTGAATGGAAGCCGGTGGCTGGGCCAGGCAGCAGGGTGATGGCCAGGCCCTGGCTGTCGCGGAGCGTGCAGCGTGGGTGGGGGAGATGACGGCAGGCGAACAGCAGGTAGAGTAAGGGCACTCACACCCTGTGCGCGAGGAACAACCTTAACGCAGAGTCCTGCGCGCTTTGTGCATGTTGGGGGTGGGAGACAAGGATGGCACAAAGCAGACTGGCTGCTTGTTTGGGCTTTGGGACATGTTTTTGGTATTGGGGATTGAACCTGGTACCTTCCTACCGAGTTACGTCCTCAGCCTTTTTGCATTTTAATTTTGAGACCGGGCCTCACTGCATTGCTAAGTTGCCCAGGCTGGGCTCCAACTTGGAATCCTCCGGCCTCAGCTTCCCAGAGTACTTGGACCTGTCATGTAGTATGCTTACCAGTTTGTTTGAAAAGGCCAGTGAGCATCTAAGAGCCTAAGTTTGTAACACAAATTTACCTTACTGTTGTTGCTCTGACCTGGAGCAGTGAGGTGGTCTGGGACCTCGAGTGTTTCTTCTTTCCAAAGCTTGAAACCAGACAGGCTTTGGATTTCAGATTTCTTCACATTTTAGCGTATTTGCACAATACCCAGGTGTAAGCATGTATGTAATTCCCTTATGTTTCATGTACATTTTCTGCACACAGCTTGAAGAAAACTTTGTGCAGTGTTTTCGACATGCCTGCGTTTTGACTGTGACTTGTTACTTCAGGTCACTGTGGATGTTTCCACAACACTTTTAAATTTGGAGCATTTTGTTTTTCCAGTTTTTGTATTGGTGTGCTCAGTGTGTACGTTCCTGGATGTACAAAGGTTACTGATTTAAGAAAATGAACGCTCTTGTAAAACAGAGCAGTCTGCTTAGCATTTGGAAATCCTATTCACAATTGCATTGGATTTTATTCTCGAAAGGTTTAAAAACTATTGGCTTAAATGTATTTTTAAATTCAGATGTCTCAATGACTTAGCTTGTCTGGACTCTGGGTTTACCTTTACGCTGTGGGTAAGGCCTGTCTTTCAGTAATACTGTTTCTTTAAAATATGGGTCCAGTTTGAGAAACATCTCAAAAGTAGTTGCACGGGGAGCCCTGGCCGCCCCTTCTTGCTCCTTGAGCTTCAGCTGAGGTGAGCTGCTAGCAGCAAGCACTGCAGCTCTTGTGTGTTTGAGAAAGTCTTCATGCTGCCTTTGGTTTGAAAATAAACACAGAGAGGTGAAATAAACGAGTTCACACAGCCATTAAGCGCAGGCCCAGTGATGTGGGTGCAGCCGGCTGCTGGCTGAGCCTGTATTAGTGAGAGCTTCGTGTGGTGGTGACCCCGGAGGTGGGGTTGACGTTCAGATGAACGTGGGCTCGGAAGTGTCAGTACATGTGGACACGGAGTGAGAGGACAGTGGCTGGAGAACATTGGGAGAGGTGTACGGGAGCGCCTCCTTTGGGCTGGGAAGAGGAGCGTGCTGGTTCAACCACCAGCTTGCTTGTTCTGGAAGCCTTGATCTTTAGAACCCTGTGATACATAGTTGCACTGTGGTCGCTTGAAGCCACTCATGTCAGGTCACTCAGTCAAGAAAGAGAATTGCATATTGGCTCTCGTGAGCCTGTGGGCGCTGGCCCCAGTGCGCAGGAGACCACAGGCCAGGAGAAAGTACCAGCTAGTTCTACCAGTGCCGCATCTTTTTCCCTGATGTGTCTTGAGGCTGTCAAAGACATTCCATAAAGGGTTGTTGACAGAATTAATAATTTACTTGCTTCCACTCTCCCACGCAGTCATGGAAAATGTCTGCCAGGCATGGAAAATGTTTATCACTTTTGAAATCCTCCCCTGACCCAGCTGGGCTAATATTTGTAACTGATTAAGAACATGTAGAACCGTACAATCTGCCACTGTGGCGAGAGCTCTGGTGTTGCAGAAGATAATCTTAATCGCTACCTAAACAAGCAGCTCTCAAGAGTCCCCAGTTAATGTTGACTTCGATGTTATAAACACAGGGTGACTAATTCTTTGCTATCTTCCCTAAAATGTGACAGAGCTCTCTGGCTTTCAGTGCCAAAGGAGGTCTACAGCTACTAGGTGGTGGGCTATGGGCAGGTCTGTCCCTGGTGCTTAAAGAGTGAAAGCTAATTATGTGGCTCCATCTTTATTCCTGCCCTTTCCCCCTTTGTGGCAAGCTTGGT